CCCGTATGAGAACCACACAAAACAAATAGGTTAGAGAATAAGGATAAGGGGAACCAAGAAAAAGAGAAACCTTATGTTCCACCACCACAATATCAACCACCCATTCCTTTTCCCCAAAGGCTAGCTAAGTCAAAGACAAACTGTCAGTTTAAGAAATTTTTAGAACTTCTAAAACAACTTCACTTAACAATATCTTTCTCTGAAATAATTACTCAAATGCCATCTTACGCTAAATTCCTTAAAGAAATCCTTTCAAACAAGAGGAAGCTTGAAGATGATAGTACAATAGCTCTTATTGAATAATGTAGTGCAATCTTACAAAACAAAATGCCTCAAAAACTGAAAGACCCAGGGAGTTTCTCCATTCCTTGTGTTATAGGCAGGTTTGTTACTGATAAATCATTATGTGATCTAGGAGTTAGTGTAAGCTTAATGCCTCTTTCAATCAGTAAAAAAACTAAACCTAGGAAGCCTAAAGCCTACTAGAATGTCCCTTCAATTACCTGATTGCTCAATTAAATATCCTGTAGGCATACTGGAAAATCTTCCTGTGAGGCTTAGTTAACTGTTCATTCCTATAGACTTTGTGGTTATGGATATCAGGGAAGACTCAAGTATTCTAATTATTTTAGGAAGACCATTCTTAGCCACTACTGGCGCTATAATAGACGTGAAATGAGGTAAGCTAAATTTTGAAGTAGGCGAAGAGAAGATGGAATTTATTCTTTTCAAGTTTATGAAAGCACCTGCTATAGACGATACATGTTGTTTTATAGACATCATCGACGACTGTGTAAAAGAAATAGAGATGGAACCACCTAAGGATATTGAGGTCCTAAAAATTCCAGCACCACCTATATTCGAAGAGGATGAATGGTGTGAGCCATATGTGGATGATAGTTTGAGAGAATGTCTCACACTTACTCCTAACCCTATGCCTAGCCCAAAGTAACCTTCCATAGAACTTAAAGTACTACCCAAGAATCTAAGGTACGAATTCCTAGATAAGGAACTTGATTGCCAAGTAATAGTCAATACAGACTTAGGTCTAGAAGAAACTGAGCGATTATTGAATGTATTAAGAAAGTATTCTACAACTCTAGGATATAACATCTCAGACCTGAAAGGAATTAATCCCTCTGTTTGTATGCATCGAATTATGCTCGAAGAAGACTCAAAAACATCTAGAGAAAACTGGAGGATGATTAACCCCATCATGAGTAGTTAAGAGGGAAGTACTAAAACTACTTGAAGCGGGGATCATATATCCAATATCTGACAGTAAATGGGTTAGTCCAGTGCATGTCGTGCCTAAAAATAGAGGAGTCACAGTAGTTGAAAACGAGAAAGATAAAGTTATAGTTAAACATATTGAGACATGGTGGAGAATATGCATAGATTATAGAAAATTGAACAAAGCCACCCGAAAAGACCATTTTTCTCTAACTACCAACAATTGTTTTTATTCTTTATGCTTGATAAACAACAAACGTTTGTGGTTTGTTTTAATTAATTTGAAAAGAAATATGGATCAAGGGGAATGAATGAGAGGTGGGGGATTTCAATTCAGTGAGAAAACCTTCATAAAGGAAATGGAAAAGTTCAAACCTAAAAGGGGAGGTAGATGAGTTTAATGTGTTAATCGACCAAATGGACCTAGTTGATATCCCTGCCATATGAAAGTTATTCACCTAATATAATTTTGATAGGGAGGAAAGTAGTAGACTTGATAGGTTCTTAGTATCTCAAAATTTTATAGATCGCTGGAAGATTTGTGCCTAAGAAATTGATCTAAGGTATACCTCAGATCTTTGTGTAGTGCGGATTAAACCAAGAAACATCAATTAGGGACCAAAACCTTTCACCCTTCTTAGGTGCTGGTTTGAGCACAGCATTTTTACGCCATTTGTTGAGAACGAGTGAAGGTCATTTAAAGTTAAAGGTAGGAAAGCATTTTTTGATTAAAGAGAAATTCAAGAGTTTAAGAGGGAACTTGAGGAAGTGGAACAATGAAGTGTTCGGTTGGCTTGATATGAAGATTGAAGAAGAGATCATGATTGTGTCCGTGCTCTGTGTTTTGAACAGGAGGAAAGCATTTTCCATTTGATGTTCCAGTGTAGAGTTACAAAAGTTGTTTGGCAAAACACACGGGCATGTATTGGTATGGCGGAGGTGGAGGCATAGTCTAGCATAAAGCACTTCCTAGCATTCATAAATAATCTCAGAGGAAAGGTGGGAAACTATAAGAAAAGATTCATTTGGAAGATAACATGTTGGTGTATTTGGAACAAGAAGAATTCTATCATGTTCAAAGGAGAAGTATGGATGATAGTGAGATAGTTTTCATTATTAAGCTATTCTCTTGGGTTTAGATTGTTAAAGGTTCTAAATGTGTTTCAGTGTGTAGTTTCTATGAATGGTGCACTCATCCAAATGACCTTTTATAGGAGTCATTGTTTTATGTAAATATGACGGTCTCTTTGTAAAAGGGCTAAAGTACCCCTAGCACTTTTTGAGATTATATAATCTTCTTGCTAATTAAAAAAATAATTAAGTGATCAAATAAACCAAATAGATTAGTTATATTTTTATTTAGAAATTTATTAATTTATTAATTAAGTATTGAGTATGAGATGTAAAGATGATTCATTTTGAAATAATAGAAATCCTAATTGACCATCATATTATATAGATTATGATTCTCAATATATGGTACACAAACAAATAATCTCTTTTTGTATGTTTTAAGATGAATGTCGTCACTAGGGAAGTCAACTAGCCTCCGTTAATGGGGATCTTCGCAAGGATTCCCTATTTGGGGCTCCAAAGACAATTTTTTTCTGCGGAGACGTGAATGGGGAACAAAGTCTCTCTAAAGACACTTCAGAGACGGGGGTGGTGTAAATATCTCCGCCCTCCGTAGAGTCCATGTCCTGCCTAAAATATCATAATATCCTTAATTTATGTATAATTTTAAATTTTTATGTAGGTTTATTATCATTTTATATAATTTATCTTATAAACAATTTTAAAACATAAATATATTTTTAGTAAAAGAGTGAGATTTAAATAATTATTGAAGTTTTGGTGGTCATGACACACAATATTATAGATTAAATATTGTTAAAACATTATATTTATCATAAAGACATAATTTATAAAATTCTTGTGGTTAGTTTTTGAAATTTTTACTATTAATTTAGTTTTAAATAATAAATAAATAAATCATGTTTATGGATCTCTCCAAGAACCTTGAGGATCCGTGAAAATCCACGGAAACGAGGATGAGGGACAAAATCCTCCCGTGACAGGGATCTGATGGAGATGAGGAATAGATTCGAGGGCGGGAATTGAGATGAAAATGTATCCCCCATTCCCTCCCCGTCCCATTGACATCCCCAGTTGTCACTGCGTAGAGAACTTCTGTCTTGAATTCATCCAAATACTTGAATTAAGTATTTTAAAAATTAGACCAGATTAATCGGGCGAATCAGTCGATTTGAGAATCGAAGGGCTCGTCAATTTTGGTTTGATTACTTGATCAAGTAAGCTATTGAACTAGTGGAAATCAGCCATAACTGATAAAAACTGAGGAATCAACAATTTTGAAAAATCGACGGATTAAATGCTTGCTTTTATTTCCTCAGACAAAACAACATCGTTTTGATAATTTAAAAATAAAAATATTAAAATATAAATAGATTTTGTTCATAACTTATTTTGAATAATTTTTCCTCTTTGAAATTAAATTTATTATACACCGCAATTATTTGTTATTTGGTTTATGTTAATTAGACTTTGTTCAAAATTTATTAGGAATTATATTTTTTACTATTTTATTGTGTGTGATGATTATGTTTAAAATTTGAATTTAAATATTGTACTTGTGAAATTATGATATTTTGAAATTTTGAAATTTGATAGATGTCATAATTTTTTTTAAGACATAATCATTTGATTTGATCGGTTTAATAATTATATCATTTTGTTATAGAGACAAATCAATTCAACCGATTTAACCAATTTATTCATGTTCAATCAGTGATTAAATAGTTCAACTAAAGAACTTGTAATTTAATATTCTTCCTGATTTGATGATCTATCCGATTTTTAAAATATTGATTGAATTCATCCTAACATTTCTTTTATCTGTTGTGTTTATGCATATTCATATATTTGTTTCACTTTCTGTCTTAAATTAAATATTATAGATTAATTATTTAATCGATTCCAACATAATAAACATATCAAAAATTAAATGAAACTGAATCCATCACGACCCAAAACTTCCTTGTTTAAATCGCCTCTCAAAAAGTCAGTTTAACATTATTAGTTTGATGTCTTATCACCTAAAGTTGGAGGAACATTTTACCTTCCACACAATATTAAACTTCACTAATAAAATGAGGGTGTCCCTTTTCCAACAAAAAAAAAAAGAGAAAGGGAAATCAATTTTTGTACCATGTTGAACTTTTCCACATCACACCTTATTATATGGTGCTTTTTTTCTTTTTCTGCTGGACTTTCGGAGTTGTTGCTTAGACCCTTTTGATGGGGAGAGCCGATGCTTCATGTTGGCATGAAATGACATTACCTTAAACATTATTAAACTTTCATCTTCATTGCTATGGCCTCCTCTTCATTTCAACATTAACATTTTCTTTTATATAAGAGAATTGGCGATTAACCATCAAAGGTAGCTTATCTCTTCCCAACAACATAGTATAGAACTAGAAGATAAAAACAATACTTACAGGCAAGAGTTGCATGCAAACAAACAATTATTATTATTATTTTTATTATTATAATATGTAATAGGAGAATGAGTAATAGAAGTAAGCTAGGAGGAACAATTTTATGAAAACTTAAACATAACACAACACTGCTTTACTATATTCTGCCTACATGGTACGTAGACACTGATATAGTTAAGTCCATTACATCACAATACATAGCATGCTAGTAGTATATATTATAAAGCTTCATCATCATCATCATCATCATGGTAACCATCCACCCATATAGTTATTCATGCTTGGCCCAGCTGTCACCACTGATCCTGGATCACCATGATGATATCCAATCTGTAGCGTTGGCTCACACTCAATTGGTTGAACTTGAAATAGTTCATCACCTTGGGTATGACCTTGATGATGATGATGGTGATGTCCATATCCCATATCTTCACCACTCAGATTCAGTTGGAGTGAGTTTATTTGATACCCTTCCACCTGAGAAGAAAAAAACATCACAATCTAAATAAGTTTCATAATAAATAACCCCACCAAAACTTACATAGTAGAAGAAGGTTCAAATGTTTGTTACCCTTTGTCTGAGAGCTCTGTTTGCTTCACATAGCAAGTGTTCCTTCACAAATGACACAAACAAAGTGAGCACGATGAGTAACTTGAGGAAGAAGATAGCAAACATTTATAAAGATTGTTGTTATCATACCTTACGTTGAAGATCTCCCAGCTGATCCAGCATGAATTGGGTCTATAGAAAAAATAGTTACAGTTTTATTTACTAAGATTGTTCATGAATAAATCGAAATTGAAATAAGCAAAGTTTGTGAAAGTTGAGTACCCTTGTGGATCTGATTAGCTTCAAGGAAGAATCAAGCTGCCTTTCAAGAGTTTCAAGATCTTTGCTGCTTAGAGGGCCAAGATCTTCTCCCATAAGGTTCCTAAATAAATGAGAGCACAAGTCAAATACTACAACATTGCGACTTAAACATACCAGTATTCTATAATCATGTAATTATCTCTACATGAGTACCTCTGAGAGCGTTGTAGAGACTCATAACGTGCCTTCAGCTTCAAGTATTCCTGTTGACTGCTTAGTTCCTATAGTTATAGTAGCAAAAGTATTGCATGTTAAATAATTAAAGGAAGATATTATAAACTAACTGCCATGTATACTACTTATAGCTTCTTCCTTGACAAACTAACACAACGATCAACTAAAGGTGGACGAGAACTGCAGATGATTTTCCAGCTTCTAGCCTCGGCGAAGGTGAAGAATTTTTGTAGGGAGACTTGCCCATGATTGTTTACGAACTTAAAGTAGAGTAAATGATAAATGTGATTATGTTGACAATCATTATTCACACCACAATGGAGTTCAGGATACCACGAAACATAATCTATTCTGTAATAAGAGTCGTCAGACACAACTTACATTTGTGGCATGTTAAAATAGGGCCTATCATCTACACGAAAACATTGGACAATTGGTTTTTAGCTTTCTGGAGGCAATGTTGAATGTGGATCAATGCATATTTGCAACAAACTTATGGAGGAGATTACTAACACCCACAAATTTAAATTAGGAAATTGCAAGTTGCCCGTCAAGAATCGGGGCAGGCTAAGCTGAGACAACGACAACAACACCAACACAGACATGCCTATAACAGCGACCTCCTCACAAAATCATAAAGTGTAAAATATGTGTCGTTCTCGAGACAGCACAACAAAATTGGAATTGGTATATGTTTAAGGGACAAACAAACATACTTAAGGGTGCTAAAGCCTAAAACACTATGGTCTCAACTTCATGTTGATGTCAATATTTTTAGTCTTTCTAAAGAACTTTTAGTCAATTTTGTCTAGGAGAAAAGATAACATGGTTGCTCGTAACCTTATAAGGGTTACCATTTAGAATGTCAATTCTCATTATTTATTTTTGATGTATTCGCATTGCATTGAAATATAACCTCTAACTAAATTAAATTGTTTTTCACCATAAAAAAATCAAATCACAAATATTCACATGTGACTTTAAAAATAATTGTGGTTAAAAGCAAATATTTTTAATCATCTAATAATTATAAGGAATAATTATAACTGGCTGACAATGTTTAAAAATACTTTGTACTAATAACGTATATGAATTAAATAATTTCTTTTTATGAATTGAATTTTTTAATGACAAATAGTGGTATTGTAGTTAGAGTTAGTTTAGGGTAAAAATTAAACTCTTTAATTTATTGTCACTTCACTCTATATATAAGCTGACATTCCCTCTCTTCCCTAAGCAATTCCTTATAGCTTATTCATACAAAAGACTTAACATATGAAAAACTAACACAATTTCTAAAATGGGGATTAACAAGGTGACTTGGTGGTTTGAAGGAGAACTAAGAACATGAGTCTAACACTTTCAAATAACATATAACTAATCACTAATATTAGTCATTAAAAACTTGATAGTTTTTTTTTTTTTAACTCAACATGCTAAACCAAAGTGAAAACAAAAGAAATAGATCTCAAAAAAAAAAAAGAAAAAACACAACAATACTTAGTTAAATAGAGTGAGTTAGATGATTCACCAATACCAAAGCCTCCTTTGATGTCACATTACCCTCAGGTGCTCCATAGTTGCATTTCTGATACCTTTCAAGTGTTTTCAGCATGCTGCACGTTTACATTCAAAACAAATCATATGCATCACAAATGAAACTGTTGGAAACTGAATAACCACTGGATAATAAGTGAGATAGCTCATTTATGTGCCACTTTTCAAATTCAGAACTAGATCTATAGAACATGACTTTGTTTTTTTTTTTTTTGGCTCACAATGAGATCTCAAAGATCTCAGATGTTGTCCAAAAAGTTATGCCAACAAGAAAAATAAATGGTTGAGTTGAGTTGAGTTGAAGTGAAAAGAAAGAAAACAAGAAAGAAGAAAAGAAAACCCTATCTAGGTCCAAAGATGTAAATGTGAGAGAGTCTTAGCTTTGTTGAGAGAAAAAGGAGACATGGATTAGGTTGTCTGAGTGATTCTAAAGGCAAAAGCAGACACAGTACCAAAAATTTAATGATGTGTTTGTGTTCCCAACACAAAATTGCACTGAAATGAAACCTGGCCTAGACCCCAAATTGGTTTAGGGAAAAACTTTAGAACCAGATCTGCTTGAAACACAAATGAAGCAAAACCAGAAAGTTTTGGATTGATGTGTTGATACCTAAAAGAGGGAAAGAAAGAGAAAACCAAAGAATTGTGTGGAAAACAAAATTAAAAAACAAGAGAAAAAACAAACACACCATTTACAATACAACAGTGTTCTTTCTTTCTTATGATGTTTTTTTTTTTTTTTATCTCATGTTTTATATTATAAAATATAAATGTTTTGTTTGTTTTGGTTTATTGTGTTTCCAGTTGCAGATCTAACAGCAATCCTATCACAGAAATACTCAACCTGCTATAAACGCCGAGACATTCACACAAAGGGCAAAAAAACTCAAACAGTGAAAAAAGAAAATCTACTTTTTCAAATTTCAAATATCAAATAGATAAACAAATTGATAAGCTAGAAAAAGCTAGCTGCTACTCTTCAATCACTCAAAACAGCAACAAAAAAAAAAATACTTTAAAGATCTTGTAAGAAAAATATTATTATCGTTCTTATTAATTATTTGCATTTTGAGTGATAATATTATATATATATATATATATATATATTTATATATATTTATACTACCTTGAAGTGCTGCAAAACTCATAGAGTTTTCCTCTATTGGAGAAGACAATAAGAGCAACCTCAGCATCACAAAGAACAGAAAGCTCATAAGCTTTTTTCAAAAGACCATTTCTTCTTTTTGCAAAGGTAACTTGTCTGTTGATCTTGTTCTCAATTCTCTTGAGTTCCACTCTTCCTCTTCCCATCTCTTTCTCTCTATTCTTGAATTCTCTTTCTTACACTCGCAACACAAATATTATACCTTAGAATTTTATTTCAGTATTTAATAATAACTTTTATAAAACTCTTTCTTTTTCTCTCTCTTGTTATCAAGTGTGATGGTGAGAGGTACGTGTATTAAGAATGTGAGCAAAACCATCGTTATCAAACAAAGCCCTAATGAGAGAGATTATGGCTTTCTCTCTCTACCTGTCTTTTTCTTTCATACACTATGGCCTGGGCTTTGTTGGACTAAGCATATACAACTGATAGAGACATTTGGTTAAATTAAATACACTAATTCAATTAATAGTTGTATAAACACATCATATATCATAATGTTTAACATCTTATTTATTCAACTTTAAAAATATTTAAGAAAAACTTTAAATAATTAGTAATTAATATGATGATGTGACGAGGGAGTAATTAAATTAAAAGCAGTTTTGTGTTACACGTAAAGTGAACCTAATAACCGTAGGATTTAGGGAGATGGGGTTGAAAAATAAAAGTGAGATTGATCTGACGGTGGAAAAGGAGAAATTTTTGAAGAAACCTTAAAATGGGTGGAGGGGACTGTTAATCATTTGACTTGACTTATGATAGGTGATATTAATCACAAGATGACACGTGTCGATAGATTAAGTGGTGAGGGAGGGGTGTTATGTTTTTATCCACCTGATATTCTAGGGTTTGTGCAATCATGTGAGCTAACCTTAAGAAGTTGAACCCTCATAGTCGTAGGTGGTTCGTACTGAGTATATGCTATACACATTATATCATTATATTTATTTACCTAACTACTCTTGTTTTTTTTCCAAAGGTTACACTTTTTGTTTATATATGCTTATATTTATTTTTTAATGACAAAAATGTTTTATCTTATTTATGCTTATATTTATTCTTTAATGACAAAAATGTTTTATATGAAAAAATTAAATTATATTTTAATTCTATATTTCTATATTAAATTTTAGATTTTCAACCCTTATTTGTAAATATGTAATTTTAGTCATTAATTAATTTTTGAATTTTGGTTATGTTTTTTAATAGTAAAGGAAAAACCATATATTAAAAAGAACATTAAAAATTTTAAAAAAAATCATGAGAATTAAAAGTGCTTAAAAAAATATGAATTCAACCCTGATAATAAATCAGGACGGAAAATATCCAAAAATAAAATAAATAAAAAAATAATTATCAAATCATTACCAACCCAACAATTTGAAAGGCCTATCAAACCAACACTCAATCAAACGAACATTCGAAGAGAGAAAAATCTATACACCAGCACAAAAACACAAAAGAGGACAGTCGGCCATCCAGCGAATCCTTAAATCGTCCAACCACTTAAGCAGGGCTCACTCTCAATCAACCACAAAAATGAAAAAAATTGAAGCATTGACATGAACTCACTTCCAAGTCAAACTAATAGTGATATACATCCATTGATTATCCGTTTAACTTTCCCTACCAAAAATAAATTTATTCTTTATTTTTCAATTCATCCAAAGCATAAAATGTTAGATCGAGACCAAGGCTAAAGACGCATATTTTCCAAGACCAAAATCTTAGAACAACTCAAAAATCCCTAAAATAGAGTGTGGTAGAGGCCCCAACCTCTCAAACCACTTAAAACCTCAATACTATATGGAAGAAGCAACCGCACACAAAATAAAAAGATGGTTTGTCGACTCCACCTGCCCAACGCACACCCCACACTCCTTGCTACTTGACCCCGACATAATTTGACACCTCAAAAGATTCTCCCCATTCAACAACCTATTTTAATTGAGATGCCAAAAGAACAAAACCACCTTAGATAAAACCCTACTCTTCCAAATCCTAGACAACCCTAACACCACACTCTCATACTTGTCTTCCTCGACCCCAAACAAGGCCAGGAGGTTATCATATTGGGTGTGGCTTCCAAACTCAATCGTCATCCCGACCACAATTAACAACCCCTAAAAATGATCAACAAAACCTCAAGGAGCTTCTGCTCCCAAACAAGGAGGATCCTTATCCATCTAAATTGCCAAACCCAAATATTCCCTTCTCAAGCACCTAAGGAACCAATGTGTGAGACTTTTACTCTGAGATAAGAAAAAACCTCTCAAAGGAAACATATATAGGGGCAGTCCCCACCAAGAGATCATGTTAGCACATAGTTTTCTGGCCATTCCTTACCACCCTCACACTAGACGAGGCAATCCATCCAAGCTCATGATTTAATGGGGACATCCTTCTAAGGCAACTTACCCTATTCACACCATGAAAACAAGTTTTTGGTAGTAAATCTTAAACAAATATTAAGATTATAAAAGAGTCGTCAATATCAAAGCTTGATTAGAATTACATAAAACTCCATGACCTATTTAATACTTGAATATAATAACTACATGTAACACCTAACAAAGATATTTTGAGCTATACTTACTCATCGTATTTGTTCTGGTAATCTTGTGAAACTAGGATTGGAAGTTTATATACCTTGTCACTTGAACATTAATTCCGCCTTTGAGCTCTCTCTCTCTCTCTCTCTCTCTCTCTCTCTCTCTCTCTCTCTCTCTCTCTCTCTCTCTCTCTTATTTTCCTATTTTAGACCAAGGTTAACCTACTCAAATTCTATACCACCTCACTCCACAGAAACTCCATCTGAATTGAACTGGAAGCCTCAATTTATAGGCTAGGATTTGGGGGGCCTCACTAGGCCCGTCGTCCTTGCGCCTAACGAGCCTGATTTCTTCTCAATTAAACAATGTTAGTTATCTAACAGGTGGCCTTACCTCTACGATTAGCACACAAACTCTTCACCATAAAGTATTTGAACTTGGAAGTTCCATCTGGCCTCTTGAGCTCACATATATGTTGGCCTAACGAGCCTTACTTTTTAGGGTTTTGTTCTAGCTTGGTCTCACTACTACAGAAAACACATACAATAGCGGTTGCAAAAAATATATAATGACGATAACACGTATGTTGTTAGGCAGCGTGTAATTGTATGCATGTTGGTTATCACAACAGACGTGTGGTCGTTGTTATAAGTTAGATAGTGTGCTACTTATAACTACGACTTTAGGAAACAACCGTTGTGAAATATTATTTCTGAATAATTCTCAACCGTATCATACCAGAAATAATAATACATCCAATTGTGAATTGAATATCAATACTTGTATTACATCAATGACACAAATTATTGCATCAAATCATTCAACAGCTTGAGAAAAAGAAATTTGAAAAGACAAAGAGATATTTCCAACTTCCAAGAGAAGAAAATGTAGATAATTAAAGAAGAAATAATAAGCAAACTTGACATGCATAAAATCTTTTGGCTTTTAGATTTTCAAGATCAGAGAAGAGGAAGAGGAAAAATTATCAAACCAATATAAAAGTGGAATTCCTTTTTGAACCAAAACACAAAAATAACTTCATTCAAAGAAATCAAAGAAGATGGAGAATCAAAATGAGTAATTTTGTTATTATAGAGGTCCAAGAAGCTGATGAGAGAACAAAAGAGGTCCAAAAAGTTGTTGAGAGAACATAAGTTATTGTTGCTGTAGAGGTCGAAGAAGAGGTCCAAGTTGCTGCAAGAGGCCCTGCTATCAAACCTTTGATGTCTAGTAGAGCTTTTAGGAAGAGGAGATCAAGAAGAAGAAGGGTGAAAAGGTTAGTCATCATCGATTCTGATGACGATGATAGTGAAGCAGATTGACAATGGTCAAACGTTATCTCAGCCATAGGATTTAAATATGATTAATAAAAAAATCACTGGCCTTTTTGTAATCCACTAATCTAAGGTTATATGCTACACATAGTTCAAATTTAACTCTTAGTTTCAAGTAATTCAATAACTCATTTCTCATACATACTAATCTAAGGTTATATGCTACACACTACATACTAAGGTTATATGCTACACACTATATACTATGGTTATAAGCTACAACATCTGAATAAAATCAAAACACAGTTGCAACAAAATGAAAATCAAGGAAATGTAAATGGCACACTAATGCTTCAAACACAAAATCTAAAGCACATGCATATCCAACACCAAAACCTAAAGCATGGACATTCATAAGCCATTGGCTCATGAAAGAAACCATAAGCATTCATAAGCGTCAGAGAGAGAGAGATAATGGTAACATATTAGAAATGATATTCGAAGAGGAAGATGATTTCGCTTCCAGAAATGATATTCTAAGAGGATGATGAATATTTAGTTTCTAGAAATGATTTTCACTATCGCTGACGTCTCGTTCGCTAGGACACCCATGTATGTTATGAACGAAATAAAGTACATGTTATGTTTTAATATCGTGGAAAAAATATTTCATGATGGTTGTAAGCGTCAACCGTAGTGATATATGAAACTTATTACCATGATTGAATATAACAATCATAGTTGTAATACTTTCAATTTTAAAAAAAAATGTTAAGGACACACTTATTTTTACTGTAAAAATGGAAAAATGTTGAGGTTGAGATTTGAAACTTGTCACATAGAATATACAATGATGGTTTTTTATAGGATCCAGGATGAAAAGTTTCTCATTAAAAAAAACATGCGCGTAAAAATGTGATATGACTACGGTGGATTAATGGTCGTAGTAATATTGTGTTATCGTATGTGTTTTTCGTAGTAGTGTCTTTTCATGTTGAATCATGGTTTTCCATACCTTTTTACTTGTTTTTAGTCGATATAATCTAAGAAAGTCGAAACACGTGTTCTATCACTTTTCATAGATAAATTGGTGTTTTTTATTGATTGTTTGTAAAATAAGTTTCTAAGTGCTTGCATAATTTACGTAAATTTGACACTTATAAAAAATCAAACAAAGAGAAGGCGCAAAAAGAAAATATGAGTGTGTTGTATTTCAAGGCCCAAACAAACTAAAAGAATCTGGAAAAAATCACCTTCTAATGGATTCAACATAAGTGTTGATCGATTATGCCTTTTGAATTTCAAAATTGACGCCAA